GAGTCGCTAAAAGTCTCCACTGCCAAGAAAATCGGATGTCGTGGCATTCTCTTCCACTGCGAAGGTTTTGTGTGATTCGATGTTATTAACCTCCAACTGGCATTCGCACGCCCCTAATTTTTAAAAATGTCATGAAAACTATTACACAGATCGTGTTTACCAGAAAGTGGAAATTGAAGTGAGGTGTAGTCAGATAAGACTGTCCAGTACTCGAACGTGGTCGAATTTCTTCAGAAAAGCAAGAAGCTTTGCCAAGCAGTTTTGGACCCAAGTATACTCGCACGGAATGCCACTGGCCAAGAAAATCCCTCGTTGCGGTGTAATATCGAAGACAAAAGCGAGCGTTTTTATTCAACATCTCCTTCGCAAAACTTCATGAAGCAGCTGGGGTGTCGCGCAATATCCCCCTCATGATCAACACTGCGTGAGCACTTGGCTCGTGATAATCAGTAGCTTGTCAAGCATTTGGGTAGTGGCCCGAGTACACTCGCTGGAATGACGACAATAGCCGAACCATGACAACGTCTGGAAATCATCGCGTGTCCTGTGCTGTGCCAAGCCCAGCGCGTGACTATGATAAACATTGGCGGCATATAATCGTCTCCAGATCACGCAGCCGCTTGTTTTGCAGCGAATTGAGAGGGTGAACGCCGCTCGTTTTTTATTTATTTTTTTCTGCGATTTTTTTTTTTTTTTGCAAGTGGGGGAAAAACGAACGCGTGCTTTATAGGACATTAACGTCAGGGATTCTTTCTAAGTGGTATGTGCGTAAAGGATGAAAATCGTTGTATCGCCCCTTTAAAAGCAATGGCTTCAAAAACATAAATCGCAAGAACGAAAGTCAGCAAAATACAAGCCGCGGTAAGTCAAGACAGTTCGTAGCCTCCCGATGTCTAGAACAGTCTCGCTATTACGAGTCGACACCCCTGACAACATGCTCTTTGCACAAAACAATGCCGTCACACACAAGCGCGGTGGCATCGGCACACTATCTGGAATCCTTATCAGTATGAAGAAAAACATCTCCAACGACTGAATTTCCTTGTGACGCTGGGTGACTGACCCTTGGGAAGTTCTGCAAGGAACGCTTTGAAGGAGTCACATTCTGGCACGTGTGCCGTGTTGCGCATTCGAAATGACTCTGTTCAATATTTGTCCATGAGTTGATTACACTCCCTCGTTGGTTTCAACGGATGACTCAGAACGAGTGTATTGCTGTGAAGATGAAGATACCAACGGGACAATAACGCACGACCATCTCGGGCGAGGCCCCACGTGCCGGCTCAGCCTCCATAAATCATTCTATCGTTTGTCATCCCTGTCCTCTATGCTGTCGACAGCATCATGCTAACAGTATCATTATCCGAATTCAATGCAACGACAGACAAACATTTCTTGTTGAATTTTAAATACAGCTTGTTAGAAACTTTTACCTCACCTTCGGGCGTGTCCAACTGATTAAAATAGGAGATTATTGGGTTGGCGAACAATACCTTGGCATTTTTGACAACAACGACTGTTTAGGTCAAAAAGTCGCATGCTTGATTCAACTTCGTAGGTTGGTGTTTTAGCCGTACGGTTCACACACCAGAGATTTATTACATTTATGACCGGTTATTGTTGGCAGCAACGTGACAATTAAAGATACCACGGACGCTATTTTTATATATATAAATAAAATAAAACCGCTACGTCCTAAATCTGGCAAGTGCAGACCCCCTTATGTCATAATCTAAAGGGACTATGCTCCTTCCCCGCTCACGTTATCGAAAACATTAATAACTGCTAGTCGTTATATTTCAAATAGACGAAGGATGTTTTTACTCGAACTTTGAGGATTCAGCCTGCATGAGGCCAGAGATATCACAGAGGCGTATATTCGCAGTCACTTGTCACTTCTTTCCTTCCAATTTCTTGCGCGCTTATCGCTCATACTTTGTTGAGTGAATTAACATTGGCTGCCAAAAAAGTGCGACCTATCTCTGAACTCCGACCTACTTGGCAGACACAACAAAGATAAACCCGAGATAGTTTATCGTTTCCTGGCGCGCTTACACACACGGTCCTTGCCCGTAGGCACTCGATGGTGTAGGTGTCAACAGACGCAGCATTTTATCAAAGTTTATCGGGTTTCCTGAACAAAACAAGCAGAAAAAAAATTTCAGTTCACGTGAACCTAATGGTGTTTCTCAATGTCCTCCCGGTTAATCGAGAGGGGGTAGTCACTGGCGGCCATAGCAGTGTGCGCGACTGCTGAGCGCGTGCTGACGGTGAGCTTCCACGGTTCTTTTGGAACGTGCATTCCGCACGATCAAGAGTGCCGGTCTTAGCAGCCTATTGATCTGAGCCCGTTTTGAGCAAGCGCTCTAAACAGCCCCACAAATATGGCGTCCAGTGAATACTCCCTATAGGGAGTATTCACTAGACGCCATATTTCTGGGTGCTGTTTAGAGCGCATGCTCAGAAGGAGCTGACATTTCAATAGGAGGTATTCACTGGACGCCATATTTGAGGGCGATGTTTAGAGTGCATGCTCAGAACGAGCTCACATTAATAGCCTGTTCAGACCGACAACCTTGATGGTGCTAAATGCACGCTCCAAAAGGACTTTGGAAGCTCGCCATCAGCACGCGCTCAGCATTCGCGCACACAGCTATGGCCGCCAGTGAATACTACCTATACTAGCACATATTCTTTTGTTAAAAAAAAAGTAGCCGGAAACGAAGTGTCGTCGTAACGCAGTCAGCGTCAAGAGCTAATGCCGGGAGATGGTCTTTCACGCGCTCCATTTAAAGAAGAGGAGTGAGCGTTGGGAGGAAAACAGCCAGATCTTATCGCCCAAAAGAATAACTCCTGCACATTTTCTCGATTTCAGGGTTGCGACTGTTGAGTGACACCTCTGAGTTACGAGGTGTAATTTTTTTTTCTTCTCTTCAATGCCTCGTGTTAGCAACCTTTGTGGTAAGTTCCATGGCCCATCGTGTGACCGAAATTTCTTACGGCGGTACCGCAAAACATACTTCTGGGGCTCTAAACTCGTAGAACACAAAGTTGAGGACGAAATTCACGGAGCGCGCCGATTGCACTATCACGACGATGACTTCGCACTTTCTCCGCCTGCGTCCAATCGGCACGCTCCGCGAACTTTCTGCTCCAACTTTGTAATTGACGAGTTTAGGGCCTCTGGCCTAGTCGCAAGAGTAGTTCCGATCAGTCAGGTAAGATGCTATGGCTGTTTTACTGCATCGCTTCGTAGATATCAAATATTTGTAAAAAATATTCACACACATTCATAAAGTCGCCGGCCGAAAAGCGAGTTCGCTACAATGAACGCAGGCTCAACGGCGGGCTCACGACGAGCTTTCCCTTACCTTTTGAAAACAACTAGAATATCGGCGGTGTGCAATGCACGTTGCAGAAGCGCCGTGGAGGCTAATCATAAGCTTGAGGTGAGTATAGGAAGTATTCACCGGCGGCCATAGCTGTGTGCGCGACTGCAGAGCGCGTGCTGATGGCTAGCTTCCAGGGTTTTTTTGCAACGTGCATTCCACACCGTTAAAATGGCCGGTCTTAGCAGCCTATTAATGAGGGCTCGTTCTGAGCATGCTCTCTAGACAGCATCCACGAATATGGCGCCCAGTGGATACTCCTTATAGAACGGACTAAACTATGGCCGCCAGTGAATGCTACATACGGCAGCTAGGGGCGCTTGGGCCGAGCAGCGAATCAATAATCTTCACGCGCGATTGCCGAGGAGCACTTCAAACCACGGTCGCTAAAGCATAACACAACAAGCAGAAATTGTCCGTTGCGATGGCTCAAAACGCAGCAGAAAAACACGGCGAACGAAGTGGTAGTACCAACAAGTAACCTCCTTGGGTACGAACATGGCATTGGGGCAAAAGGTTGTTTGACAAACAGCCAACCCGCTGAATGCCCGCTGAGAAACTTGTGGTATCCTTTTTAATATCGGTTTTAGAGTGGATAGCGCTTTTTCATTGGTGAAACATTTTGGCAGGGCTCGTATGTAGTCTTCGTAAATCGATATCAGACATTTATTTTGGTTCAACTTCTGATCGGAGTTATCCTTAAGCAAAACGCACACGAAGTCACCGAGACGCTGAAATCTACGTACCCCACGAATCAATAAGATGCCGTGTTCTCTTAGCATCTATTTTCGTCTGTCCTTGTCTTTAGGCGTTTTACTCGAAGAATCTACAACCAACTAGCTCACCTTGCCTTCTTAATATATAAGAAAGTCATGGCGATGAGTGCGACAACGCTTCATGATGTGCAATATTCTGAGGCTCTTATTGGCTTACTGCAGTTTTCACGGCCTTTTGCCGAATTTAGCTTAATCGGCATACAGTCATGGCATATGGCGAGGGCCGCAGTTAACAGAGAATGGAATAAAAACCACTGTGTCATAACAACCCGAAAGGCCAAAAGAATAAAGCATTGTGCCACACCTAACGCTCTGATCATGCACTTTCTAGAGTTTTTCGTGATATTTTGTTTTAGCGCCTACTTCAGCAGGTTAAACACGGCTAGTGGGCGTTGTTTCCGACAGAACTTGAACGGCTTTTCTAACGTGAACAGTTCTTCGTCTATCACACGGTTCTGATCAATCAGTTTATGAGCTACGGTGATTCCAATACTTGAGGCTCGAACAAACGTAGGCAACTTAGTTTTATACCTGTCGTAGTTTATTCGAGCACCTGACACGAGTGCCTTCAGATGCAAGGTTCTTTGCATCAGCGATGCAACGTTTGTATCAATTTCTTCCGCAACAATTGTAAGATTACCTGCCACCTTTTCTGTCGCAGAAAACAAATATTCACGGGGGAGATCAATGAGAATATATCTTAATCGTTACGCAGAGCAGAAAATCCACTGGGCGAACATTTTCGCCGCGTTGAGTATGGGTTGGATTTTGTTCAAATTATAAATGGCTTAAATTGAGAAGAAAAAATAAAGGAAAAAAACAACAGAAAACGTACCTGTTGCAAGACTTGTTCCTGTTTGGGACTCAGGTCTCCCACGTGTCCGCTCATGTTGAAGCACCCGGATGTCGTCTGCTAGAAACTCAAGATCGAAACCAGGAGCGACGTCTTCCTACGCCGACCGCGATCGGCACTCGTGGATCTGGCGCGCGAAGCACGAACTCTCGCTAGATGAACTCTTCGCCGAACCCCAAACTGCTCGGGACAGTCGGTTTCCAGCACGTAATCCTTGGCGCTTGCAAGGACAAGGGCGAAACCGTAGTGCGCCGAACAGTCCTCGAAAGTCCCTGGGGCAGCTTCCTTCGGTAGCCAGCGGCTGCGTGCAGAGAGAGAGAGAGAGGAGAGCGAATTCAGCGCTGCAGTCTGCAGTCCTGACGGCGGAAATGGAATTATGTCGGCTCGACGACCAGCTCGCGCGACTTTCTCTCGCCCGAAGAAGCTGAAGAATAACGCACAAAATTCAAAGCCCTAATGGTCGAGGGGCCTCGCACGAGGAAAGGGAAAGGAGGAAAAAGGAAACACATTTCTCTCTTTCTCCGTGTTTTGGTTATTTTTTGTATCGTTTGGTTTCTTTTTTATCGTCCGTGGGACGAGCCGGCTCTGTCGGCTGCGATCGGGGGAGGGTCGGACAGTTACCCCCTCGCCCCCCCTCCGAGGGGCTGCGGCCGACGCCGCTTGGTGTCGGTGCTATGCCCCGACTGCTCCAACACACCGTTCTGACGTCACGGCTGCGCAGAAGCTTCATTTCACGCGGTTCCTGCGCAAGCACTGTGGCCACAAATGGTGGGGGCCCGTTTGCCCACACCTCGTGGCTTTGGATAATGCGTGTTGGCCTGTTGTTAAGACACCTCAATGTGTTTCTGCTTACCCTAGTGCTAGTGCCACTACCTAGTGCCACTAAATAAGTTACGCTTCAGAGTAAAGACACTCGCCTATATTGTGGCTGAAAATCACGGTTACCAGTTATCTGAAGGTTTATATAAAGTCACAGGAAACGCTTTTCCGTCCACCATAAATGCTTGAACAGTTCGCAACAGATAAAAGCAATATTACATGAGTTTCCAATCTTATGCTGAGGAAGTCGCATTTCTGAATCGTGATGATCGACAGCTGCGTCTGTTCCGCATAAGCACCAAAATGGCGGCGCCCACAAGAACGTCGGGGAACGAAATGCCGATACTGCAAGCGCAGCTTATCTAGTGGCTCTAAGTTGCACTTTATCAAGGGCGGTGGACTGCGCCACCTAGTCCGTGCAGTTCGACAGTATTAAAAACTCTTAAATAAATTTCCCGCTAGACATGTGCTTAAAAAGCCTAAATTTAGAATTCAAAGTGCTAGAGTTTTAGTTTTATGAATGAAGGATTATTAAACAAGAGTTGAAATGGAACGACAGGTTTACTTCAGCCCAAGCACTCGTGTTGTATCAGCAATTCCATACTGCACATCCAGACGCAGCGGATGCTACAAGCGCGGGCATGCGAGCCTGAACAGGGCTTGCACTGCACGAAGCCGCGTGGTTGGCAGGGACGCTTATACCCTTGTTACACGGGCACACGTAACTGCAGTTACAGTAAGCCACAGTTAGCGCACAATACTTGCCGACAACATTCTGCGGCTATGCCGTCAAAGCTATGGGCGAACGTGCGCTTGAGCATCTTGAGCACCCATCGAAGCAGTGCACGCGCGCTCTTCACTTCTAATGAAATAGCTGCCCGAGAGTATAGTGTGCTAAATGTGGTGCCGTGTAACTTCAGTTAAAGCTGAGTTAACCGCGGTTAAGCGTGCCCGTGTAACAGGGGTATTAGAGCCCGGAGCTCGTTCTCGTAGCTTCTGCTAAGCTCACACTTAAAGGCTGCGTTCCAAAACTTACTCGATCCGACTCCGCAGTAAAGTTTTCGTACCGTGGCGTTCCAAAACTTACTCGAGCTTACTCGATGACGTCAGAACTCGCGTTCCAGAAGTGGGTTGTTTACTCCGGAGTAATTACCCACGCTACCCTCCTCGATCGGGGGGTAACGTCGGATGAAATCGAGTAAATGCGTAACGTGATCTGCTCGTCGTGTGCTTTCTGCGCCGACATCCGTCCAAGCTCGCTTGCTCCGTTGGTTTTGGTGGCGGACCTTCGAAATGACAACAAATAGGTGCAGCATGTATGGTTATTGCGATTTGCTGCTTTCAACGCAGCAATATTACATCCAGACCGTTCACCTTCCCCCAAGAAGTTATACTTGTTATTATCAGAGTGCGAGCGTAAACAGGAACTTCTCCGCATTCTCGTCCTGGGCGTTGGGGGGAATCCCGTGTTCTCACGTTCAAGGCTGAAAATGTTTGAACGCAGTAAATGATAAGGTAGTATTTTTGTTTCCTCCAGAGTGCGTGTAATGAGAGGATAACGCGTGTAAAGCTGTGAAGACTTCGATGATTTTATTGTAATCATATTCGCGTCAAAGCGAACGTCAGTTTCATATCATTTTGAGAAAGCACCCTCGCGCTGTACCACTACACCGTGTGGAATCAATTTCTGCAAAACATAATCGGTGCAAATTACAATGCGTGCAATATATGCATTTAGGGCGATCGCGCTGAATAATAAAAACACATTTTTTGATATTTAGCTGTAAGGAGTAAGTAATTTATATTTCAATATACAGCTCAAAAGGAAGGTGAGTAAAAGGAGCTGGTGGATCCACCGAAAAAGAAAACGCGTCGTCATTAATATTATTGTCTCTTCGAGTGCTTGTTTTATGATCAAAAGGATCGTCTGCTATTTTCTGCCATCGCTGCTGTGTTTCTTTTTGCCGTAGCCCAAGACGAGGCCGATCCGCGTAGTATCCAGGTTATTATCCCGGCCGTTCCAAAATCGAGTCGCGGATCGTTTACTCGCGATGTCACGTGGTATTACCCTCTGGCGTAGGAGGCAGGTTACTCGGGTAAAATTTGAAACATAGCCAAAGTAATACTACACGTGGCGGGTGCACGCGCAGTGTGGCGTATTAAACGCGTGGATTGGCCGACCTGTAATGTCACTTGGCTTAAAGGGGCTGCGCAACATTATTTGGTGGGAACGTTTCTCCCTTTCCAACATCTTACTGGCACTGGTGGGCCCTAAGAATACTCAAACGCAACGCCACTGACCAAGAAGCGTCATCGTTGCGGTGGAATTCCAAGGATAAAAGCGGACCTATTCTTTCAGTCTCTCCTTCGCAAAACTTGATGACGGGGCTGCGGGGACAATGCAAAATTTGATGACGTAACGTGGGGATCGCAGTACACCCCAATGACGATATTTGAATGCCGTTCATAGATTGAACCCAAGCATTGCGTGTGCACTCGATTTGGGCTCGTGATAATCGATAGCTCGAGAAGCATTCGGGTGGTGGCCCGTGTCCAATCGCTGCAACGACGACAATAGCCGAGCCATAACAATGTCTGGAACTCAGCGCGTGTCCGGTGCCTTGCCAACCCCAGCGCGCGGCTATGATCAACATTGGCGGCATATAATCGGCTCCAGATCACGTGGCCGCTCGTTCTGGCTGCGAGTTGAGGGGGTGAACGCTGCTCGTTTTTCTTTAATTGGAAAAAGACGACGAAGAAGTACAGCCAAAGGATATCTGCGTACCTCGCTCCAAGGAATCTGGCCTAATTTTTCATTACCGCCGGCACGACAAGACGAAAACCTTTTTCGGATCCTTAACATAATCAGCAACGAGAATATCCCTTCATCAGCACATAAGGTGGGTCGATGTGGAACCCCAAGCCTGGGTCAAGCCGACCCAGGCTTGGGGTTCCACATCGACTCAACTAACATGGCCGACCAACCTGGCATTCGAATGGAAACCAATCAATTGGACGCAGAGACCAGTCATGACGACTCAGCTACAGAAACCTCGATGGATGAACTAATCGAAGAAGACAACGCTCCCAACGATGCTGAATCTCTGGATGCAGATTTCAAAACGGTGAGCAGCAGAAAGAGCTTTAAACGAAAGAAAGGACGCCAGAACGGCAACAGCTCCAACTCAACCGATGACACCATCCTATCTCAACCACAACGCCAGAGTGGTCTGACCGTTATGTTGGCGCCTAAAACTCCAGAAACTGTGCTAACAAAACTGAGTAGCATAAAACTTTCCAAAGCCCTCAATGAAATCATTCCCGAAGGCGTCATACTCATACGATATAACCTACGCCTAAATCTCATCGCTGTCGATACTCGAAATGGTCAGTCAACCAACGCACTTCTCCGTCTTAGCAGCATCTACGGAATTCCAGTCACGCCTTATGAACCGCGGAATAGCTCCTCTGTTGTCGGTGTCATCAAAAACGTCTCTTCTGACGTAACAGACGCTCATCTCAATACATCGTTACAAGCAAGCTGCCCCATATCGAGTGCTCGACGCCTGGGGAGCACTGAAGCTGTACGAATAGTATTTTTATCCCCATGCTTACCGACGCACGAAACGCTAGCACATGTAAGATACCCTGTGACGCCTTTCAAGGATCGCCCTATCCACTGCTCTAAATGCGGAAGCTTTGGCCATCGCCCAGCGGTGTGTCGTCGCTCTGCAAGGTGCAGTAAATGTGCAAGCGAAAGCCACACCACGGAACAATGCAAAGAAGACCCTAAGTGCGCAAACTGCGGAGAAGCACATCCTTTCACATCCACAGAATGCCCGAACTGGAAGCGGGAGTGTGCAATAAAACAATATCAGATGGAGAAGAAAGTAGACTACATCACAGCACGTACAGTAGTTTGCTCTGGAATATACTCGAAACCTGCAGTGGAATACGCCCCCAAGAAAAACGAGCCCGGTAACCGTAATGTCCAACAAACTAAGAAAACCCCGTCGATACCTGGCTCTAGACGTGGTTCAAACCAACTTGCAACAACTTCACCGTGCGGCACTCCTCAGACACCGTCAACAACAGTTCTACAAGTCCCAACAGCTGCCTGTAGCTCCACTCCTCAGAAAACGTACACAGCAGCGCTACAAGGGGAACCAAGACAAAGCACGGTAAAACCTACTCAACATCCAAATCCCGTGCCAAACAACACAGGTGTAGAACCCCCCAAGCAAGCAAACCTGCATGAGAGTCAGCCTTTCGGCGACAAGCCCACGCAAGCCTCCAAGGTATCTGCACCAGCCGAAAAATCCGAGGGCATTGGAGCTCTCCTTAAATCCATCTCTGAAGTAATCCGCAAAATTCTTCAGCGCTTTACATCCCCCTACGCGTTAATTGCCCTTAAGATCATGGACTCTTTCCTACCCATTATTGAGACATGGTGTGGTTAAAACACTTGGCCTTCGCACCATTTTTTTTTATTATCATTGTGTCATCTTTACAAAATTTTAAGTCTTGTGCACTATTTCAGTGGAACGCACGTGGATTTTGTTCAAAGCTGTCTGATTTCCGTCAGCTAATTAGGGAACATCAATTTCCTCTTATTAC